TCACATTGCTAATGATTCAATGAATAACTGACTCTCTATACCAATATATTGCAATTCATTTCATTATTATTATTATTATTATTATTATATTATTATTATTAACATTATGCTGTTTATGATTATTATTAGTGTTATTATTGACATGATACAGTGACTGTTGTGACCATCACCCTTAATTACTTTACTATAATCCTTACATTTGAATTTGCAATATTTCTTCTCTATTAAACGTTTGGCTTGATTTTTCAATAGGAATTTTCGCCTTATTGAAAATGCATTTTGTGGTCTTACGTAAAAGGTAAGTGAGTTATGTAATAGATGAAATTGATCAATTGTGTTGATACAAGAGTTGAAACGATGTAAATTACTTGTCACTGCTCATCTATCTTTGTGAGAGATTTTTTGTTGTTGATTAAAGTCTTGTGAAGATAGATAGGAATGAGTGTTGAATATGGAGTATGTGACAGATATATTGAATGTCGTGTGTTTTAATAACCAAGGTATTAATACACTATTACTTTGATTTGTGGTCAATAATGAACCTGTGATCTGGCTATCTGATCTCACCCTATATACGAACAAATATGTTGATCGATATTATTTATTTTGAGGCATTTTGATTACATATACATAGCATAATTTATAGTATGTTATTAAAATGAAGAAAGAGTGAAATGAAACGAACTTGTCTACAAGTTCGATCAGTTGAACTATTTTAATAAAATGGGTATTGGATATATTGGAGGAAATCTAGGCCCACTGTTTCCTTTCGACTACGTCAAACCAGCACTTTGCATCTCACCATGATGCATGCGATGTGAAGTGATCTGTGCTTGTGGACACATTGCAAATCGATCCACATAATTCCATCAGCAATTAAACGGCTAGACAATATCACATTGCTAATGATTCAATGAATAACTGACTCTCTATACCAATATATTGCAATTCATTTCATTATTATTATTATTATTATTATTATTATCATTATGCTGTTTATGATTATTATTAGTGTTATTATTGACATGATACAGTGACTGTTGTGACCATCACCCTTAATTACTTTACTATAATCCTTACATTTGAATTTGCAATATTTCTTCTCTATTAAACGTTTGGCTTGATTTTTCAATAGGAATTTTCGCCTTATTGAAAATGCATTTTGTGGTCTTACGTAAAAGGTAAGTGAGTTATGTAATAGATGAAATTGATCAATTGTGTTGATACAAGAGTTGAAACGATGTAAATTACTTGTCACTGCTCATCTATCTTTGTGAGAGATTTTTTGTTGTTGATTAAAGTCTTGTGAAGATAGATAGGAATGAGTGTTGAATATGGAGTATGTGACAGATATATTGAATGTCGTGTGTGTTAATAACCAAGGTATTAATACACTATTACTTTGATTTGTGGTCAATAATGAACCTGTGATCTGGCTATCTGATCTCACCCTATATACGAACAAATATGTTGATCGATATTATTTATTTTGAGGCATTTTGATTACATATACATAGCATAATTTATAGTATGTTATTAAAATGAAGAAAGAGTGAAATGAAACGAACTTGTCTACAAGTTCGATCAGTTGAACTATTTTAATAAAATGGGTATTGGATATATTGGAGGAAATCTAGGCCCACTGTTTCCTTTCGACTACGTCAAACCAGCACTTTGCATCTCACCATGATGCATGCGATGTGAAGTGATCTGTGCTTGTGGACACATTGCAAATCGATCCACATAATTCCATCAGCAATTAAACGGCTAGACAATATCACATTGCTAATGATTCAATGAATAACTGACTCTCTATACCAATATATTGCAATTCATTTCATTATTATTATTATTATTATTATTATTATTATACATTATGCTGTTTATGATTATTATTAGTGTTATTATTGACATGATACAGTGACTGTTGTGACCATCACCCTTAATTACTTTACTATAATCCTTACATTTGAATTTGCAATATTTCTTCTCTATTAAACGTTTGGCTTGATTTTTCAATAGGAATTTTCGCCTTATTGAAAATGCATTTTGTGGTCTTACGTAAAAGGTAAGTGAGTTATGTAATAGATGAAATTGATCAATTGTGTTGATACAAGAGTTGAAACGATGTAAATTACTTGTCACTGCTCATCTATCTTTGTGAGAGATTTTTTGTTGTTGATTAAAGTCTTGTGAAGATAGATAGGAATGAGTGTTGAATATGGAGTATGTGACAGATATATTGAATGTCGTGTGTGTTAATAACCAAGGTATTAATACACTATTACTTTGATTTGTGGTCAATAATGAACCTGTGATCTGGCTATCTGATCTCACCCTATATACGAACAAATATGTTGATCGATATTATTTATTTTGAGGCATTTTGATTACATATACATAGCATAATTTATAGTATGTTATTAAAATGAAGAAAGAGTGAAATGAAACGAACTTGTCTACAAGTTCGATCAGTTGAACTATTTTAATAAAATGGGTATTGGATATATTGGAGGAAATCTAGGCCCACTGTTTCCTTTCGACTACGTCAAACCAGCACTTTGCATCTCACCATGATGCATGCGATGTGAAGTGATCTGTGCTTGTGGACACATTGCAAATCGATCCACATAATTCCATCAGCAATTAAACGGCTAGACAATATCACATTGCTAATGATTCAATGAATAACTGACTCTCTATACCAATATATTGCAATTCATTTCATTATTATTATTATTATTATTATTATTATTAACATTATGCTGTTTATGATTATTATTAGTGTTATTATTGACATGATACAGTGACTGTTGTGACCATCACCCTTAATTACTTTACTATAATCCTTACATTTGAATTTGCAATATTTCTTCTCTATTAAACGTTTGGCTTGATTTTTCAATAGGAATTTTCGCCTTATTGAAAATGCATTTTGTGGTCTTACGTAAAAGGTAAGTGAGTTATGTAATAGATGAAATTGATCAATTGTGTTGATACAAGAGTTGAAACGATGTAAATTACTTGTCACTGCTCATCTATCTTTGTGAGAGATTTTTTGTTGTTGATTAAAGTCTTGTGAAGATAGATAGGAATGAGTGTTGAATATGGAGTATGTGACAGATATATTGAATGTCGTGTGTGTTAATAACCAAGGTATTAATACACTATTACTTTGATTTGTGGTCAATAATGAACCTGTGATCTGGCTATCTGATCTCACCCTATATACGAACAAATATGTTGATCGATATTATTTATTTTGAGGCATTTTGATTACATATACATAGCATAATTTATAGTATGTTATTAAAATGAAGAAAGAGTGAAATGAAACGAACTTGTCTACAAGTTCGATCAGTTGAACTATTTTAATAAAATGGGTATTGGATATATTGGAGGAAATCTAGGCCCACTGTTTCCTTTCGACTACGTCAAACCAGCACTTTGCATCTCACCATGATGCATGCGATGTGAAGTGATCTGTGCTTGTGGACACATTGCAAATCGATCCACATAATTCCATCAGCAATTAAACGGCTAGACAATATCACATTGCTAATGATTCAATGAATAACTGACTCTCTATACCAATATATTGCAATTCATTTCATTATTATTATTATATTATTATTATTATTATTATTAACATTATGCTGTTTATGATTATTATTAGTGTTATTATTGACATGATACAGTGACTGTTGTGACCATCACCCTTAATTACTTTACTATAATCCTTACATTTGAATTTGCAATATTTCTTCTCTATTAAACGTTTGGCTTGATTTTTCAATAGGAATTTTCGCCTTATTGAAAATGCATTTTGTGGTCTTACGTAAAAGGTAAGTGAGTTATGTAATAGATGAAATTGATCAATTGTGTTGATACAAGAGTTGAAACGATGTAAATTACTTGTCACTGCTCATCTATCTTTGTGAGAGATATTTTGTTGTTGATTAAAGTCTTGTGAAGATAGATAGGAATGAGTGTTGAATATGGAGTATGTGACAGATATATTGAATGTCGTGTGTGTTAATCATCAGGGTTTGAATACATTATTACTCTGACTTGTGGTCAATAATGAACCTGTGATCTGGCTATCTGATCTCACCGTATATACGAACAAATATGTTGATCGATATTATTTATTTTGAGGCATTTTGGTTACATATACTTTTGTTACCATATCCTGGGATCAGACGTAGCCATAGAAGATCTAGAAGCGTTGTCACAAACATTACTGTCTGCGTGTGATATACCGCAATCCGAAATAATGTTGTTATTGTTGAATAATTTTACTGACCTAAAGATATATGTCCCAACCTTAATGAAAATATATTTATTGGATAGCTTTTTTTCAATAATCATTTCCTTTTAAATTTTGTGCAGATTCTAATAAATCTCGAGTCTACAACAGTTAGAAATTATAGTGATACAAAATATGTACTTGATCAGGTAGGGCACAAGGTGAGAATTATACGTTCTCCCTTGTGAAATACCCATATAAGGATATGCACTTATAACTACTGTCTGGATTATCAAACTCAGTGTTTTTTCTGGGTTAACGCTTACAGCAAATCAATGACGAAAACAAAATGTCGAACGCTTAAACTAAGTTAACAGACGAATATGATCCATCAGAATGAGTTGGGAGTCCTTTTTTTCAATCGATTATTCCACATAAACACTTGAATGCTGAAGCATCAAAATAATGTATAAATCTATCATTGTCCAATGGCTACTATCTGAATGCAATTCTTGAAGATGTTCCACTGCCATTGTGAATTAAACCTCTTAGTCAAGGGCTTGGGACATGGCTCTCCAAGAAAACTACTTGCTTATTTCTGGGGTATAGGTCTGTACCGCAGCAACTATACCAATGAGATTAAATTGCCGGTCACAAAAATTACAAATTAATCCACCTTCTCAATTACTATATCTTATCCATAGTGTATCAAAATAATTTTTTGTCACAAAAGTCTACTTATTTTCACTTTGAACAATTTACTTATTAAATTCAATATAATTTTTCTTTAAAAAATTAACATTTACAATATAGAATATAGAATTGTTCATTTTACAAGGGCAAAAGAAAAGTTAAATTTTCAGATCATAATAATAAACTTCTGTACATTATGGTAACTATGAAGAGTTGATTGTTTGCATACACAAAGAATAACATCTATCATAATCATAATGACAACATCAAAGAACTATACACATAAAAGAATTTCAGGGCTAATTAATAAGAAATTTCAAAAAAAAAAGAATTAAAAAAACGATACAATTTATGTAGGTATGTGCAGTAACTAGTTTAAATGTTGGAAAGGATATTGAATTGATTAATATAAATATTCTTGTGTTCTCTCGCTATATACTCACTATTTACAATTCAGTTTTAATTACATTTATATGTCACCATTTTCTTTTCATAATTGATAATTGAATTAATGAAAGACAATTTGACAATATTCAAGTTAGTTTGTTTTTTTTTTATTGACTGAATGAATATTTATATAACTCCTGTGTGAAAAATCAAACACAATAGAAGAAACATAAATATAACAAGCTATTTATTGATTTTTATTACTCTAGCTGAAATCATGAGTCAATTGAAGCTAGATTACGATGGAAAACCTGGAAGCACCAGACGGTCGTTTCATCCTAGTATGGAACTCGTGGATCATGGATGCGCACTGCTGAGGTTTCTCATACTAGGACGAAATGGCCGTCCATTGCTTCCAGGTTTTCCATGGTGGCCTAGCTTCAATTGACTCATGATTTCAACTAGTGAAATTTTTAAAAGTCTCTACAAAAACCACTTGTGATTTCTATTACTTAAAAAGTATTATAAACATGAGTAAACATCAATGTGACTTTGTAATTAAGTATAAATTTTTTTGACTAACTTTTAAATTGCACGTTTTTAAATATGGAAACAAATGATGGTAATCAATGACTCAGATGTAAGTAGGGAGGTGAAGATATTATTCAGTGAGACTATAATTTGTGGATGACCTTTGAGCGACGCTAGACCGACCTTCAGAGTGTCCATCTAATAACGAGGACATAATGAGGATTATTTACCTGTGTGAGGAATTAGAATTAGGATTTACAGTTGATAGTTAAGGTTAGGGTTTTCATCACGAACTGACATCACTTATAATGGACGTAACGTCAAAACTAAGGATACTTTCTCAGTTATATATCAAGTATCTAGTAATTTACCAAGATGTGTAAGACTACTCGTACTCCATGTTTCTGAAATGAATGGTATCAGATCTAAGAAACATAACGTCTGTATGTGTAAAAGATACATTTATCATCTCTGTTTATTTTTTTATATGTATTACGATCGTCTCATTTTTGTTTGAAATTCTAACGCTTTCCACATCATCATGAATAGTACTTCCCTTAAAGTCATGCATTAATGTTTCTTATTTTACAGGATGTCATCATCGATAATTATTCTTAATGCCATTATCGTTATTATCATCACAATAACGACACGAAAATTCATATTCCGTAATAAAATTATCTCCTTACAGATGATTTTAAATTATTAGTAGATCTTATCACTTCGATTGAGGCAAATAATGTTTCTTAGACTTTATGTATGACATTTGCACTGATATGCACTTTACCATTTTTAATTTAGAACATAAATTAATTAGAGTTTTAATATTTTGTGTACTGCAACAGAATGTTATTGACTTTGCATGTTTAACTTTGGTGCCTGATGAAGCAGAAGTTATCAAAAATGGATCATTCGTGCTCTAATACTCGTTGTCCTTGATTACTTTTTCTCTGTGAATTTTGTTTGGTTTCTTCATTTCTAAAACCATCATCACCAATGTTTTCTTCAATTTATTAATTAAACATGGTACAAATGTGGAATTCTGAAATACAGTATAGTGTTCTCTGTAAAAATTATATATAGGCTTTGTTATTCATTTCAGTAGTGGAAAAATTGGACTATTTATCTAATATGTACTAACTCATGCTACTGAGTCGGTATAAATAAAATGGTTTAGCCGACTATATGTTAATGTCAAGAGACATAATTGTTTCTCCCTTTGTAAATATTTCATTTTAAAGAAGAAAAAAAAAACGAATAAGTAGCTGAAGATTATACTTCATCCCAAAGTGTTTGTTATTCAGGTGAAATGAAGAGGTGATATTTAGGTCACGTATTTAATTCTTAAAGTGATATATCTTTTTTCCTTCAATCATTTCCACTACAATATTTCATCTGTTAAAGTTCAGATCAAAGAAAGGACTCAACTTATATGTAGTGAGAATCAATATTATTCATATGACAGTAGTCAACACCAATATAATTAGATTCTGAGCATTTATAATTAAACAACGCGTCATATAGACCAGTGAGAACATTTCAACTTGGTCAACAGAATACGATTATCACAAGGGACAAAAAACACCGGACTCGATATGACAGCGAAAAACCAATGTATGAACGGCAATATATGTAGGTTTCAAAGTACATCTATTGAATACATAGCCTTAAATAAGTGGTTTGAATGGATTTTTATAAAAAAAATTCCGAATTTACCTGGAAATCAAGGAAAGAATTAAGTTTAACTCAGTAAATGTAAATGTAAAAGAACTAACTGATTCGACAATGATGGAAAAATTGTAAAAAATTTTATTTGACAAATAGATAGATTTTAAACTAACTTCGTCATACTTATAGTAAAATGAAAATCATGTAAACATCTAATTATTTAAAATTTTCATAGTTTAAACTAAGAGCTGATCTTAGATACATTGAAGCACTGCGGAGCACATCAAGGGCAGCATTCCTACAGTTAAATAACATATAGAACTCAAAACAACTGTTAACCAACATCAAAGTCAGAATATTCAGTACAAACGTCAAGACAGTTCCAATGTACACTGCTGTAACTTGGAGAACTACCACAACCATCATCAAACATGTACAAGTATTTATAAACAATTGTCTACACAGGATACTCAACGTTCGTTGACCGGATATCATCAGTAGAGAGAACAAAACGGCTTCCAACTGATGAGGAAATTCGGGAAAGATATCGGAAGTGGATAGGACATATATTTCAGAAATCACCGAACTGCATCATGAGGCAAAAGCGGAGTTGAAGTTGGGTGGAAACGGGGAACAGGAAGACTGGGGAGCACACTGCGTCGTGAATTGGAATCAGTCGTGGAATGATGAGTAGAAACTGGAAGGAACTGTAAAGGATTGTCGAAGACAGAGTTGTATGGAGAATGCTGGTTTTCAGTCTATTCTTCTTCCTGATGGCTTACAGGAGTAAGTAAGTAATACAACAGTTATTACTGCAATTTTTCACATCTCTCTATGACTGTAACCTGTGCAACATTGCAATAGTAAATAATTCACACCTATACCTATTAGACTTTATGCTATGTAAAACACTATTTGTGTGATGTAATGTTTCTACCTCAATTCACTGAACTAACACTCTCCACCTGACTGTTAACCTACTTTTCACATCTCCATAATTACGTTTTTGTTAAATATTCAGTGGTCTAAAAGTCAATGATTCACGCGTGAGACCCAAGGTCCCAGGTTAGGGTCACGCATGCGGGATCGTGGGTGAGCACTGCTGAGGAGTTCCATACTACGACGAAACGGTCGCTCAGTGCTTCCAGGTTTCCGGTGGTGGTCTAACACTGATCCTTTCATGATATCAATCTAGGTTCAACAATCTCCAAAACGTCATAATGATAATTATCATTTTATCTATCTAGTCGGATACATTTGTTACTTTCCATTTATCCGTAAGCTGAACCAAGATTAAACTTTACAGATCGCAAAAACATAAAATCTTCAGAGTAATCAACTTTAGATAAAATACCCACTATTTATATTTCACGTTAGCCTGATTTCGATTCTGTTAGCTGTTTCGACATTACTCAATTTACAAACTTTAACTTATAGTATCAAACAGAAATTTTCAATAATTCAATAAAATTTTGTAAATTAAGAGATTTTGATTTACCTTGTCTATCCATTGAAGATTTACATTTTATAGTGAAAAAATAATCCACGACCAAATAGAGTGGTATAAGTAGACTTAGTGTCCCGAAACAAATTCCCATAATTTCACCTTTTTTGTAGACGGATTTTCATTTAGTCCATACATTTGTAGAATATAGAAAAACACGTTAGATTAATGAGGTTTGAATGCAAACAAACTACAGTAAAGTAGGATTTCATGGTTTACACCATGAACTGATGTTAGTGAAACAATCATTGAAAGTCACGAATCACCGGAAATTTTTTTATTCTCAGTGTAGAACTCCTCAGTAGTTCGTAACAGTTTACTCACCACTTATCGAACATAAGAACATCAAGTCACGTTAAGACCACTGAGTTGGTATCCTATAGTCTAGATCTCTGAAATCAGCCAATTTCAATATTCCTCGGTCATCTTCGAATGTCATTAATAGATGACCATATCACACCCAACATAGTTGAACTCCTATGCAAGCTCTTTAACCTTAGACCACTAAGCCAATATTTGATGGAGTAAATGCTTAGCTTAATTATTACCAAGATCATTCTATAGTCGAAATTATGAAATTCGGTTGATCCGTGGATTTCTTGTTTGGGACCTATTCATGTGTAAACATTGTTTAGATGTATTTATTTACCATGAAACATGTAGGGCATCATTTTCTACTTCTACTGTCAAACACTACCCATACTTTCCATAAAACGTGACCAAATAGCTATATCGAGACAATCCACAAAGAATACATAACAGTAAATATGAGTACTCACAATTCTGTCACGTAAATCAACAACTAGACAACTTAAATACTTTATGTAATCCAAATAATTGAAAGATAATTCCAGTAGTTTTGGTAATCTATTCATTATACGAAGTATATCAAGAACCACAAGTTTTATCATACAAATATTTCTGATCAAATCAATATCATTATCATTAGAGATTGTTGATTTTACTCATTATCATATCTTAATTATTTAGACTAGTATTTGTTTAAATAAATTCATATGGTAAGAATGCTCTGCAAGATCTTATGGTTTTATGGTTTATTTCTTATGCACCTCTTTATATAATTGATTTGATAGAGAAGGAAAACTATCTTCATAATGGTGTTCCTTAATATCACATTGAACTCTTCATCTCTCACTATATAAGTAAGAATAATAAATATCATGCTCACTGAAGATGTTAGTAGCCAATTCAATCCAATGGTTTAATGAATAATACATTTGAATTGGCCAATATTAGGTTCTTGATTTAGTTTTAAAAACAACATTTGCATACACATGCGTGCAGCTGACAAATATTCAAAGCTTGTCACTACTAGATATTATATCAAAAATATAAATCGAGGCATTTGCTCAGAGACCCTATCTGCCCATAAAGATTCATTAAAATCAGAATTGAATTCGAACAACGGGAAAGAGCAAACTTACTTATCATTATAACATCACTTTCAAGACAAAAGTATAAAACAAATTTCAACCTTATGTTTATAATATGTTATTTTTATACTTATACATAATACTTGCTTAACGACAAGAGTGAAATTTTTATACTGAATTAGAACACTTAATATTTAAACCAAAATGGTGCTATTTTACTAAGGAATACTATCAGTAATTAATAATGAAGTTTGATTTTTAAATGATTAATTAGGGAATTAAACAGCACATATTAGGATTAACCTAAACCAGTACAGTTGTACTCTCTTTTTGTTGCTAATACAACAATTTCCGCTGTGGCTATCTGGACTCAGAAGCAGTTTGAATAAAAAGAGATTGGGTTAAAGTCATAATAGAAACATTTTATTACAGTTAAAATAATTATATAAAAAAATTACTCAAACTGTGAGCATTATCATAGATATCTGAATGTATATTGCTAAGATATTTTAAAATGCAAAAAGAGACAAACATAAACTGTTTCACATTAATTAGCTTTTTTATAATTATTCACTATAACAAATCAATAAATACACATTTTTGTATTGTTTATATGGATCTTTTCATTGATATTTAGGACTGCAATCGATCAGTCTCTTATTGACATATGTGCATCCTGTGGGAATAGCCTAGATATTACCTTGAATCACAAACATCCCGCTGTTAGCTACCGTCCGTCTTTGCTTATAATGCTTGTGAATTATGACAATATTGATGCCATTCGCGTTGGATACAAATATGCTAATAAGAGACTAATTCATTGCAGTCCTAAACATCAGTGGGAAGATTCAAGTAAACAATACCAAGTGAATTTAAACTTCATCCCATTGCACAAACAAGTGGCTATCAGGAATCAGTAGTCAAGTGGATAACTCAATGGCATTTGAGGCGAACGGTACGTGATTCGAGTCCCGAAGTGAACATCAACTCAGGTTCAGGTACACCTAGCTGACAAGTCTCAAATAGGAAGAAACGCGCGTCCTGGATCCCATTGCTAGCAAACTTCTGTGTTTGCATACAATAAATACACAGTATTGTCAATGAAGGTAATCAAATAAATTTTATCAAAAAGGGGTTTTGTGGAGATTTTTGGAAATTTCAATAGTTGAAATCATAAGTCAATTGAAGCTAAACCACCATGGTTTCAACTATTGAAATATATTTTAATAAACAAAAGGTGAACATTTAACTTACCGAAAGGATTAAATATTTTATCCATAGGTGTTAATTGTGTCATACTTATATCATTTCCAATAGTTTCAAATTGAACAGTGAATGCAACAAGGCTGAAAATTAATTAATTTTCAAAAACAATAGTCTTAAAACGTTAATCAATATAGTTACTTTAATCATATATCTAGTTTTTCAATTATAATCGATTTATACTACATATTCAATCTTTTATTCTTTCATGAACTTCTATTTTATCATTCATTCACAATAATTCATCACTTTCGTTTAAGTTTTTCACATTTGATATTTAGATATTATTACAACATTTAATCATTCTATCTTTCATGTACATCAAATTTCCCTAATCTTTTGAAAAGCATGGCTGAGTAATGTCCGTAAATGTGTCTCAAAAGAGCTAGCTTGATAATATCCTTTATACTCTTGTTACGTGATGGACTAACTTTAGCGAAACAACCATTGAAAATCAATAAACACTGTTTTGTTCTGCAGTTGATTTACGATAGAATACCAGCCTAATCGATTGCCACTGGTGATATTTATCTCATCTCACGATGGAAGTGAGTTTTAGTGATAACAACTCCTGATTGATTAAATTGCATCCGAGATCTCAACGGTTGTACAAAACATCAGCTTCTAATGCAAAACTACTAAGTTCAACAATCTTAACACCGCCTTTTACTAAAGAATGTATAATAGTATTCTTTTATGTCATAGTTTAAATTAGAAACAGATTTTATTCAGAAAACCATCAGGTAGTGAGAAATAATGGAAAGCGGTTACATGACAGTAAGCTACTGTTCAGCAAAGTGCAGCCGTAACCCCTGTGGCTATATAAGGGATGTCCGTCAGATCTCGTGATGAGAGCTCAAAATCTTGGTCAGTATGCCGACATCCGATGATGTGTATTTTTAACTCCAATTAATTAACGAAATGGCTCAACCATCTTCTCATGTCATTGGTGGATAGCTGCCTCTCACCTGATATGGTTGTCAAACTTCAACCAGAAGAACCTCATAAACCAATTATAAACGTGTGCTTTTAGAGGTAATTCCAATGAAAAATAAGCGAACTCCAAATAATTTAGAGAAACAGTAAGTGATTATGGATATGGTTGTCAAACTTCAACCAGAAGAACCTCATAAACCAATTATAAACGTGTGCTTTTAGAGGTAATTCCAATGAAAAATAAGCGAACTCCAAATAATTTAGAGAAACAGTAAGTGATTATGGACATCTAGAGACTGATTGATATTTACATTTCTAAACTCCTCATTAGCTTGATCTAATAACAAATAGATTTTCGTGATTTCCAACGAGCAGAAAATTATATTTCTGACGTTTTGTGACTTAACGTAAGTCACTTCTTCAGACTAAACAAATAGTCCAAATGAAATGAATACAAGTTTAGACAGCGCAAAGGAAACAATCCATAACATTTTTAGTACAATCAAATAGTAATAAGTCTGGAAATGTCAATGCCATCTTATTTTGGTTAAAGTGAACCTGTACGACATGTCATTATTTGTGCGTCAGAAGACTGGCATGAAAACTGTATATATTTTTGTTATGAAGCGGTTGGGTTGAAATCGAGTGTGTGTATGTAGATTGTGTAGACGATGAATAGGGTCAAATGTGGTCATTGACAAATCACTCCAGTTTGGATGAATAGTCAGGCCTTCTTTCTTATTGAGGGTAGAGAGATTTAGCATGTGCAAAGATTCCACTACTCGCCTCTCATTATGATTGGAATAAACATTCTGAATTATCCTGGTATTTTTTAATATCAATTTGGAAATTCATGGGAATAGCATGTACTGCTATTACTGATTTAACCTGAAATTTTTTCAACTCTATAGGATTATTAGGAGGGCTTTTGTGTAGCTTTTTAAATTTTCAAAATCCACCGTAATTCTTTGGTCGTACGATTGAAACCAGACAGATGCATACGGGTATTGTGTGATCTTATAGAATAAAATTCCTTTTATCTATCATCTGAACTCTGTGAGCGTCTTAAATCAGCAAAAGCAATCAATTCAACGATTTTTGAACTATCTGTGTCTCAAAAATCTCACCTCTTAATGACCTATAGTGAGAGTTTTAAGCTCTTGATACTATGAAGTAGCCAGACAAGCTGTACATTGACTAGAGCAAAAATCACATAGAGAATATCACGCAGTGATCTTGGCTAAGTAAGCACTGGATAGCGGAAAGCACTAGAGAGCCATTTAGTCGTAGAATAAGATTTGTCAACAGTACACATTCACAAAACCTCCACCATGGATAGAACTCATGACCTTCAACTTCGTGTCTGAAAACGTAGCCCCTAAACTATCGCAAATAGAGTATCTGTTTTGTGGCAAGTTTCTATTATAATATCTAATGAGTATGATAAAAGAAACAATATATCACAGCCAAATACTAACCTTTTTTCATCCACTTTTTGTAAATGTTCATAATCGATTGAAAAGGTTTCTAGAATTTGTCTATTCCATTTGATGATCAAATTCATACTTGTTTGAAATAACTCCAGTCTTTGTAAACATGTAGCAATAGCTTCTCCTAACTTTTCTAACTTTACCTTGTATATTGAATCGATATGAATTTGAATTTGTGATGTACATAGTGGCTGGTTAGTTTCTGCATTATTTAATGAATTCTGAGTAATAGTTCTGTCTGAAAGTTGAAGTGAATGTGATGTAATGGTTGATCCGGAAGAAGAGGACAATAATGCCGACGGTGGTGATGATGATGTGGAAGTTGATGACGAAGAAAGAACGATTGAAGAAGAAATTGGTGTTAGAGAGTTTGTTGAGGATGTGGATGAAGACGATTGTGATGAGTGAGATGTTAAAGAAAGGCCATACCGAGTATTACTAGTTCGTGTAGCCATCTGCATACGTTTTGCTGATAGAAGTTTTAAGTATTTTCTTAAAACATCTTTTAAATTAGAATTATATGTTATATTCGAGAAAAATAAATGGATTACTTGTAATCCCATTAATGAAGGATTTTGCATGTTTTCATAATAATTCATATCAATATTATTGACAGAATCATGTATTATAGATGTATGATTATTAGTTCTTGGATGGATACGAAATCGTAATGAAGATAAACGATTATATAATGGAAACTGATATGTACTATTCATATTTAATTGGGAACGATAATCATACATTGATTGTGTATGATTTAAACAATTAAAAAAACTAGTTGTATAGAGAACATCAATTGATGATAATTTGCATAGCTCATCTTGAAATGATTTTGTTATATTGATCAATGTTTCAAAATATCCAATAACCATTTTTGAACAGGCTGAATCTGTATGTGTCATCTGCAATAATAACAAAGTTCAGTTTGAGAAGCAGATATATATGAGTAAACTGTAGAATAAAGGATAAATGGGTAAACTGTTTGATCAGTTAACGTAATCTTGTGTTTTTCTTCTGATTTGAAGCTACGTTTTGTGATATTAAGAATTAGTAAACAGGACTTATCTGAAATCTTCAAAACAATCTAATCCAAATGTGCCTACTCTCTTTCCCCTAATGGATTGCGTCTTCACATCAACAACTAGTAATGAAGATAAGAATTAAATAGTATAACATTATAAATCATTATTTAGACCGGATGTTTGAAGGAATTGTAAATTAGTGAATGGCTTTAACTTAATCGAACATCTATCTGATCGTACTACTCTGGGCTACTTGTGAACTGCTCCAAAGTTACTCAACATTAATTCTGAAGTCATGTAGTACAAATACTGGACCAACCTATCTCACTTGCATCTACAATTTTAATGACCTAAATGAATTAATTACATGACCAACGGCCCTTACTATTCATTGTACATGTGCATACAACATTGCATAACGTAAATACATTTGGTAAAAAAAATTAATTATATCGTCGAAATGATAACCAATTTGAAACTCGACTAAATACAATTAGATTCTAGTTGGATGGCTTATGAGTTCATCTAAATGAAGAACCTGAAGAGAACTTACTAAAAAAATATATTCTTAAACTGAAAGTGTCACCTGAACATCAAGTGAAGAATCAGTGAAAACCAAGAAACATGAGATAAATGTTTCGTCTTAGTTTGAGACTAAATGTATGGTTTTCGTGAGTTAGAACTTAACTGACAAATATTAGAGAAAATAAAGAATATTCGATTATTTCATGATACAATTAAGTCAGTTACAAGTGATTAGGGATGTATTTATTCCTAACTAGTGTTTGAATACTGGAAATGAGTACAGTACTCACTTTAGTAAATGTGAAATATATAGGGAATATTCATATGCTTATTATATATATATATATTATAAAGCTTAGTTTACACTATTCCTGTTTTATCAAATATTTATAATTAATTAACTTGTGTACTAAAAATATCTATCTTTTGTTTTAAAACAGGAGACTACATATCCTTTAGATTATTAAACTTTTGTACTAGAAATTTCTGAATAATAAATCAGTAGTATATTCATATTCATCTCAGTTGTCATTTTTATAATATGTTTTTTTCCTTTCATTTATTCATTCGTTTATTCATGTTTCATTTAGCCGATTTATGGCGCCTTAATTGCTAATGAACTTATTCATGTCATCGTCATCATCATCGTCAATGTCATCAAGTTAATGTGATTAATTCATCACAATTGAATAAATAATTATATTGAGCATTTCTATAAGACTTAAAAAAGGGAATTAGAACTACAAAATGATTAAAATGAAAACCTTTTAATCATACACTGTATCTTTTATGTCTAATATGTGTATTACTGTACTGACCAATATAGAGGTATACCAAATGGTAAAGTTCCACGCGACAATCATTAACAGTGCGTGCAGATGTTGTTTAACATAGCTCAGAAAGTTTCACAGTAGCGTAGATGCATGCAGTTTTTGCCTTTTATTAGACCAAGAGACTGAAATTCTTTTTATTTTTTATTTCTATACCTTATAGTTTTTAATATTGCTGTCGTACTGTGGAAGAGAACAAACCATATTCCCGAGAAGGAGGAAATCAGAATGAATCACAAGAAGTGCATAGGACACACATTGAGGGAAGCACCCAACTACATCACAAGAAAAGACCCCACTTGGATTCCTCAAGGCCAAAGGAGAAGAGCAAGACCAAAGAACACATTACGCCGAGGAATGGAGACAGATATGAGAATGAACAACAATTGTATAGAGCTAGAAAGGAAGGCCCGGGACAGAAAGGGTTGGAGAATGCTGTTCGGCTGCCTATGCTTCATTGAGGGTAACAGGCGTAAGTAAGCAGGTAAGTTAGTATTTTGACCACTCTATGGTTTTTCTTAACACTTTCATCTCTATGCTTTTATGGTTTGAAAACGTGAACACATGCTCATAAATGACAGGTTCTAATCTCTGTATCACTGGCAAGTAGACTCAGAAGATATCTGGTAAAAAGGGATAAAATTCGAATTAAACTGAACTTTGTTTAGTTTTTATGAGGTTAGGACACAGGATTACTGATTTTTTGAGGGTATACGCATATTTATATGCTATCGACTTGATCTTTCCACCTAAGCAAAACTATAGACCATCATTCAATTGCTTTCACTGTGCTACTAAGTATATATATCACCATCAGATTTTACTAAAGTCTAAAATCACAGTTACCCTCATATCTTTTGAAGAGGTTGTGAAAAATTTTATTACTGTATGTGCTTTTAGAATTATGTGAAATGTCACCCTTAAAAGTAAAAGGACATTTTCAAGTGGATAGTATCTGATCATGTGTCTTGGAGTTGATATTTGTTTGTCATAGGAACACGTAGTGAGTAATCGTCAGGTTAGGGTCAAAGTGCTGGATAAAGATTTTAAAGCGTTTGATGAGGTCAGGAGTACTTTTTGTTACTGAGATTTTCTGGATATGTGTCACCACAGCATACCTTAATGTACGATGCTAACTGGAGTAAGAGTGGGATTAAAGAAATCTCCGGACTACCAAATCAAAACGAAGAGTCAGTTATTCGAATCTTCAGTTGTTGAAGTGACAAATATTTGTAGATCCAGATTGCCTGAAACGAATCAGTTCAATCACAACTAATGGTTAGAAACATTGAATAATATGAATCTCATTCACTCACAATGTCACAAATTCGTTTACTCTCTGCCTTCCTTAAAACCCAAGTTTTAGAAATGTTTTGTACCTTCCAATCTTCTTATTCGTCCTTCTCGGATCATTTCGACACCTGATAGTTTTTATTTCTAATGGTACCACTACTATTACTAGTACTGCTTCTACTGATTTGATATTTAACTGGATAATTCCATTTCACTGTGCTGGTACGGTGTGATAACTTGAGGAGATGCGAATACGTCATACGTTTTAGGTTGCCTATGTCGCATTGATTTGTGGTTTATAGTAAATGGCTTCCAATATAAGTAAAACATATTGTTTTTTTTTGATGATAAAGCCGTGTATGTCAAACAGGAGAATGTGACTAAATCATTGAAAAACTCAATAGCATACAAAATGACATAAATGTATTTGGATATTGTTTCAACAATTTGCAGCTCTGAGCTCTACACATATTTCTATAGAAAAACCACTTGATAAAAGATAATTTTCTCTGGACCTATGTTTATTGATTATATATTTATTGATTATACATCATTCACGTAAGAGGGAAACAACATATGTTTAGATGAATCGAGGAAATATGTTTAACCCTTGAAGCGAAAACTGGTACAAAATTAATTGCTCGTTGAAGTTCATTGGTTACTGCACAGTCAAACTATGGTTTAAACAAAACGTGCATATCCATATATAATTGAAAAATCATATTTTTAAACGAAGTTTAAGTCGCATTAATGTGTCAGGACAATCAACTTTAGCCTCATAAACTTTTATCATGAAGATATTGAAATAGGTTTAGAGTGAACCCCAAGTCCTCCGTTAGATTGCTGCGTTTGGGATCGCTCATGAGCTATGCAGTCATAAGGTCGAATATATTTCGATAAGTAAGACAGTTATCATTAATTATACTCAGCGACAGTGAACTAATGTTCAAAGGATGCCAATACAGTGCTCCAAAAAGCGTACACTTTAAGAGACCTGAATTAATTGTTCCCACTGGTGAGAAGTCCCATATTAAGGTATATTAATCATTTATTTTTCAGTGTATCTCTAACGAATATTGATTTGTGAACAAATATTTCCACAGTTGGTTTATCGAAGTAGGCTAACAATTTCGTCATCTACCTTGAGGAATAAGACTTCACCGTTCTTATATCACAAAACTAAAAGCATTTCAGTCCTACTTGTAAAGCTTCTCGTTGATCTCGCCAAATTCCAATCTCGATTTCATGTAGTAGTTGTTTGATACTTCTTAGTTGATTTCTTAAATCATCATAACCCGGAACAAGTTTTCGTAATTCATTAAAAGCTGTTTCATTGGTTAACTGGATGAATGCACGTTGTTGTATTCGTAGACCACGTTCCAAATCAATTTTATTTCGTATAAATAAATTTGGATTACGTAACGCCAGTAAACTGTACATTATTGTCGCTTTCGAAGATTGTGTTGCAGATACAATGCGGGCATTCCAAATATTATGATTGTATTTGTCAGATAACCAAACAGTATCTTCTAATAAATCTAAAAATGTAATTGTAAGGGGATAAAAAATTGTTGATTATCAGCAGTTTGTATATATTAAGTTGTTAACAACAAAATTAGTTTATGTTATAGGTGGTATTTTCTGATTCAGCTAAGCTTGCCGAACTTTCCCCACGCGACAGCTAGAAACTCGAGACAAATATACTCGACTTAAGAATAGTTAAATATGAGGTATATGAAACTATAACCATATATCAAATAATGCGCATCTTGAAATTGTGATACGTGAGAATATGGGTTTGTAATATATTTATCTATTCCCATATTTGTGAGTACTTCAAAACAATTAAGAATGTGTTATATTATGATTTTTAAACGATATATAGTTTAGGCTTAAAACTATTCATCTGAAGGATATAATGATTGGAAATGATTATTCATATTTTTAAAATTCTTCTCATTTACTTGATTTAAAAGTCATGCTATGTCATATTCTTGTGTCATTTTAAGATCTTAATGTTCTTGAGAATGCACAATATATTCATTTTTAATGTACTAAACACTCACCTTTATCGATCTTTAGGACTGTAATTGATTAGTGACTTTCGATATACATGCATTCTGAGAGGATTGCCTTAGTATTATATGAAGTCATGAGCGTATTTCAGTAAACTGGGTAAGTGCCTATCAGGGGAACCTCGAACTCATGTTTCGCCTTCTTTGAACTTTATTCTCTATATGTATCTGTGACCTAATATTGATGTTCGTTCCCGGACTCCATTGCTAGCCACTAAGCAACTCTGCTTAAAAGTGCTTGTGACTCAATGGAAGTACTGATTCAGTCCACACAGGTAGACATATTTTAAAAGAAAATTGACTGGTAATAGTTTTTCCTATCAGGAATCAGGGGATTTGAATCATTATAGCTGAATTAAGGTTCGTCCCCGTTGTATAAGCCAATAGTTATCTGAACTCAGCAACCAAATGATAAATGCATTCGGCGTGACGTGTTTGTCTACAAAGATATAGAATATCTATCCAATCAGGCTTGCATAAGGACCCAAATATTGATTATTAATTTAGGCTTAGAATTTAAAAGTCATCTCTATCTTCATTGCCACCTGCTTAAACTACATAATTATCTACCCTTTGTACTAAATCATAAGTCATAGAAATAAAATTTTCTTAATTTAGCACTAATGTTTGCGTAGTACTAATGACGAGTATGTTTGCCTACGCCTTTCATTAATTTGGTGATTAGATACAGACAGTATTGTAGTTGTAGCTTGCAACTATCACTAATTCATCTAAGTTCACTACATTACGATATTGTATCGTTTAAAGTCAAAGTTAATGTAATTTTAAATAAAGTTATGAACGGTACCTGTCGGTAACTTCTGGTTAGCATTTTGTTCACATTCTGTAAATCCCGTTGATGTTGAACATAATCCATTCTTCGTATTGATTCGTTTATAATGAACCTATTATATTGCAAAGATTATTATAGAACAGTTTCATGAAACTGAAGAAGTAACTGTCAACTAACAGCTTGACAAAATCATAACAGGATTCAGTAACGGTCATTCATTTCCACTCGCTCAAAGACTTTATTATGTGGTCTTTACAGAAAATAAAAGACTAACGTGACTAATAAACAACTTCTTGGAGTACTTATGTAAATTATCATGTAATTACCAAAAAATAAGCTTGTCTTTTTATAAGTGAATAGTGGTTAGGGTACCTAGTGGAATTGGGGACTTATTATTTTAATTGACTTTATATATATATATATATATATATATATATATATATATATATATATATATATATTTTTGCGACTGTTAGTGTCAAGTATTTGCTTCTTAAATATTACAACGAAACTCATTCAGTTTGCGAGTTCCAGGTAGGAAATAGATCACTTTCTTTGCAGTGATATTCTTCTCGTCTAAATAGCTAGTGGCAGTAACGAAAATACAGATTGCTTTAATAGAAATTCAAAATGTTCCAATGGTTGACAGACTGTCGTTGCGATTTTTACAAGCCGAACATCAGAACATTGTATAGCTGGCGAAAGTGCCAAATAGTGAATCTAATGTTTGCAAACCTAGAAACGATAATCATTACTAAGTGTTAGAAATCTTATACGAACATTACCGGACGTCAAGGTGTATCTGTTAATTGATGTAATTTCATAGGGATTCTCGAGCACTAATAGACTGTTGTTTGCTACTTTGCAATGATTTCCCATTATGATTTATCAATTAAGGTCTCAGGTATATTTAATTTCATAACATTTGTTGTTTGATTAAATATAATAAACTTTCACGTCTTTACGAACATAAATACGGCGTAATTTGTTTCTAGACTGATATAGTACGGAATCATGAAATAAAATTCTTTTCAGACGACATTCGATCCATACAGCACAAATACCCTAATCTTTTTTATACGCCAGCTCAACTATTTGCTTTTTAAACATCCTATCATCATAATATAAGACAATTTCCCATATGGACTGACACTATTCGACAATCTAAAACCAATGAGATTTATCCCAGTTAGACGTTTTATAGTGGAAACTATTCATGAGCCTGTACGGCAGTAGGCACTAGGACCATAAAGTTTTGCAACCAGTATAACATAATTCACTGGCTGTGTTGCAAATCAGAGTCCACAAATGTAACTAGTTATTTAATTATCTAATCTGGCTGCAATTTGTCAATAAATTTTAAACCCATGGATCGAAGCCATCTTATGGTAATTTATAAGCCATTATATCAGTACAGGTTTGATAAAACAATCTAGAATTTTACGTTTACATCTGTTTTCCTTGAGAAAAATAGACAACTGTTTATACGAAGCAGACATTTGAAATTCAGCATAAGTTATTTGGAATTTTATATTAAAGAGACAGTTTTGCAAAACGTATAATATAGTTCGTGTTTGAAAAAAGATATTCCTATATAATCTAGTTCTTATCAAATTTCTTGGTGTATGTCTTGATGTGTTCACGTGTTGAGAAGCAAATTATTAGCTAGTAAAATAATTATGAAGGTAAGATGCCCGTGGAGATTACTGAACTTTTATAGTTTATATCATGAACTTGCCTTAATTAGACAACTATAGTAAACTGATAATCACAAGACAGTTACTCTGTCCTAGGGATATTTGGAATAATATTGCAATGTCATTAGTGGGTAACCACCACAAACCCGGCATGGTTGAGTTTCACTGATCACGGCTACACACCGAAACCGCTAGGATTATCTTTCTACATTGGTCAGCAGTAAACATAGAGTTGACTCCATTCAAAAATGTAAACCACCGGGTCTCAACTCTGTTAAAACTAACAGTCGTTCTGTAACGAGATATTTGATGTACACTTCTGAAAATCTCTATACTTAGGACCAACAAATAATTTAATGCTCCTTGTTTTTCGGCAGCCACTGAACTATGGTTAGTTCGTGATGTGAAACACAAAAATTATTCTGTTAATATACACAGTGATAGATCTCAATATTTAGTGTAAATCAAAATTGTATAAACTCACATTCATATCTAAAGCCACACGTATTAGTGTTTGGAATTCTGTACTAACAGTGATCTCATTCGATTGTATAATGTTTGATTGTTGTAATGAATTGAAATCTATTACGTTTTCATTTTGTGTATTTTTCCACGGATTATCTTTATCGTCTTTCAGATCAAGAATATAAGATGCTTTTTGTTCGCTAGGATGTATCCATAAACGGAATCCGATTAATCCTTTATGAGGTATGATGTAATCGTAATCTTGTGAATCTAACACAATTCTAACTTCATAGACTAAATATTTTGCAAAAGAAAATATATACATTTTATTATTATGATAAAAAAAGTAATAATTGATGAACTTAACAAAGTGTTATGAAACATACTTCTTACTTTTAATGATAACATTTTTGCAATCTTTGAAAATACTTTTAATTAACACTGTTGAATGCCGCCTCAGTGGTCTAGTGGTTAGGCGCTCGTGCGCGAGACTGATAGGCCCTGGGTTCGAATCTCGCGAGGCGGGATCTTGGATGCGCACTGCTGAGTCCCACAATAGGACGAAACGGTCGTCCAGTACTTCCATGTTTTCCATGATTATCTAGCTTCAATTGACTCATGATCTCAACTATTGTAATATAATAATGATATGATATTGCTTAATTAAACGTGAAGAAATAGCGAACAGTTTTATTGTCGTCATCGAGGTCTCATTTGGAAATAGTCAGAAACGACTACAAACAAATTCAAGCTTATGAGATTTTAGATAACTTAGCAAGCGCCAACTTGATTCAACGAAAATCCGAGGTATATAAAATACGTGTGTTTCAAGTTTCATGGTGGGTTGAGAACACTTAAATGCTTTTGTGATTTGATATATATATATATATATATATATATATATATATATATATATATATATATATATATATATATATATATATATATATATGGATACTGTTTACTAACTGAAAATGTTGTCAGATAGTAAAATTCAGTCCATATGACAGATGGCTTCAAAACCAAGTGGTATACATGGTGTTGGCGAGGCAATAAAGAATTCAGGAGTGTTCTAATTATCATGAAAATTTAGTTTTTTGTTTGTCATCAACTATACACAATGATTTATCCGTGTATGTTATAATTTAATGCCTTTTCAAAAACTTCTCATCGATGATAATGAAATACTTATTTAAATCATTATTCTATGGTATATTACTACTGCAATAGAATGATTTTTATTGATCCAACAAGAAAATACTTATAGTCTTCGCTGATTAAAGTATAAATGATTTTTATGTTTTGTGTACTACGGATGCAAAACAATTTACTACATTTTTTAAGTGGATTATAAACGTTCAACAAAGAGTTGGCCACACCAATGATGTTTCTGACAAAAACAACATCCATATATCAGATAAAAACCAGTATTATTCACTTGTTATTACTGATATGTATATATTAATATCAGCAAAGATCGCTCTGAATTAAAAATTCATTTCAATGTATCGTTTATTTTCACCAGAATGAAACATTCTACTTAAATAAAGAAAAAAAAACAGTCATCATTCACTGAATATATATTGATGTATAAAACTGTTCAAGCAAATAATACTACTACAAATTCAATGTATTGTTTAAATTAAATAAACTGTACTGAATTGTTCAGAAAAAAAAACAACGACTCAAATGTAAATCCTCTGAACGTTGTCCCATTTTCAGACTTATCGAAAAAAACATACATACATACATACATACACATAGCCAAACTAACATGAAATGTTCTTTTAAAGGTCGTTGATTTTCAATATTTAATCAATCTCAAACAACATGAATTCTTATACATTTATAAATTGGTTTATGGTTTATCAAACTACATCAATGTGACACAATGAGATTATCAAGACAAATAACAGAATAGTTAACTTAGTATCAAGACTAACAGTCAAAGAAAGAATTGAGACGGAAGAATGAATTTCCAGCATCAAATATATAAGATAATTTAAAAATTCAACATGTTAAAAGAATAACAAAGTTGGGTAAGTACATCTGTATTGTTACCATCAATTTTGAGCTGGTACTCAAATCTATCCTATAAAAATATTTTTTTCCATTGATTTTTCGATTTTTTTTTTAATTAAACTTTTTTCACCAAGAAACTTAGAATGTTCATGTTGTTCATAGGGTAATTGTTTTGTTGTTTTTTTTTCTAAAAAAAATAATCAGATAACACCACCAATTACATTCCCCTTTAGAACGATTAGTATTGGTTAGTTGTGAAAAGAAAATGTACACTTTTTCATTGACTTTTTGATAAATCGTTAGACAAGTGTCATAAACTGTTTGAAAATTGTAAGGAATTTTTAATTAAGAATTACATATCGGACAATTATTATCATTTTACATTAGTTCATATATTATTCGACTATTTTAAAAAAGAGATTTAATACTGAATATGAATTTATCGAAAGAACATCATGCAGATTGCGATTTATCAAAGTATGATGTTAGATAAAAGTATAAAGCGAGATGATATAGACTGAAATGCAATTGAAATCAGTTTAGTTTTATCTTATAGCCGATTGTTCGAGGATGTTAAGTGAGATGAAGGTGCTCAATACAATAGAAGATGGTTACGCAATATCCTGTATTGATTGTAGTAGATATCTACTCTGTCGGATCACTTATCATAGCTCTTGAAATTAAACCTTCATACCTGAGACCGAAGGTCAATAGTCTGACAGTAGGGTGAAACAGCCCTCTAGTGCTTTAAGGTTTTCACTGGTTGTTCAGTTTTGATTAGTTAATGATTTCAATGGAATTCATGAATCTATACAATCCCATACAGACAAATATTTTTCTCCTAGATATAATGTCTATGAAATAATCAAACAATATCTTATACCCAACAGATAAAGGAGTACCTAGACAAGATGAAAATAGTTCGCATGTGATTAATCATTAATTTCTGTCTTCTGTCTTAAGTAATCAGACGAAATAAAAAAGGGCATCCGTAAAACATTTAAATAGTCAACAGAAACATTGAATGAATAGAAAGCATCATAGCGCGAGAAAGTACTGTCATTTAATTTAAATTATTCAGCTGTAATCAACACATCTGTACACATCAACATTACAGTAATAGAGTATTGTTTATGCATCTAATCTATGTCTTGACAAACTTTCGTTGACTTCAAACGAAAGACCATGATTATAGACGAAATCTAATCATCAGATACTACTTATTGAAATCATATTCATAGACCTACTATCAGGTAGATAGATCATATATTTGTTCTACTAAACCACGACAAAATAAATTTTGCTGAGTTAATTATACACATCAAAGCTCTTCATTATTTTGGCGTTTTCTTTTTTATGGAAAAGTTTTGTCGTTTCAGTAGATTTTCATCTCTAAACTAAAATTATGCTTGTTTTTTGTTGGTTTATTTTTTTAATTTTCGCAACTGTTTACTACACAATTACAAAGTTCTTATCAATTTGACTATGAAAAGATAATAAAGGAGATTCACTCCAATTCATAGAATTTCCATTTAGGCTAACTGTAATACTAGTCTACTGACTTTTTTTTTCTACACACATATGACAAAGATGCCAACGTGTCAACCGAGTAGAAATCCATGAATTAATTGTCTAAGATTCATTTTTCACATTTACAGCAAACAAATTTATGTGAATTTAATCAATTTTAAAAATAATACAAGAGCTGAAATGAAAACAAGATAATCTTGCAAAGTTTTATATGTTCAATTAATTTTTAGAGACAGAGAAAGAGCTTGTATCCATGAATTAGTACATTTTTTTGTTACTTGCGGAAATTTTAGTATCTATAGGGGATTAATAAATTATTTTCCTACTATAATGTTATGAAATTCATTTATCAGTTCTAACAAAATATAGTCTATTAGAACTTTAAATATTAATAAATGGAGAACAAATATATATGATTAATTAGGTGTGTTAGGGACTTATTGACAATGTAATCTGATGGTAAACATTAATCTCATAACGTTTCCTATATACACAGTGTTTTGTTAAGAACCATTACCTGTCTACAAATGATAACATTTTCTATTTTACTAAGTATTATGTACTCAAGTTAGCGACTATTTTTATATATTTTCTTCAATAGATGAGATCATGAGTTAATTGAAGCTAGACCACCATGGAAAACATGGAAGCACTGAACGGCCGTTTCTTCCTATTGTGGGGCTCCTCAGCAGTGCGCATCCACGATCTCAAATAATGAAATTACTACAATCTCAACAAAACCACTCCCAATATATATATATATATATATATATATATATATATATATATATATATATATATATATATATATATATATATATATATATATATATATATATATATATATATAATGCAAAGCAGTGCCAACTAACACATCTGTTTACACTTGATACAATCATATACTAATTTTTGTTATTAATGTTTTAACAATGAATCTCACGTCACTGAACATTTCTCAATATAACTCAGTACTACCCTTATATTAAAACAAAAATGACAAAAATCATATCTCACCTGACGGTTGCAGATTCATACGATAACACTGTCCATATATAGTTAGTACAGATGTGAAATTTCGATGTGAACATTTTTCATTTCCAGTAGAACAACTGTAAAATAGTAGATTGTTGAAAACAATTTTATAATATTCATTTTGTCAATAGTTTCCTAAAAACTATTGCAATGAACCCGCAGATAAATGAATCATATATATTAGAAAACACACGGTAGTATCACTAGTAATTTATAGTTAGATAATATTGCCGGAAATGATAACTATGACATTTAAACGGAAATCATTTATCAACAAAAATCAATTGGAGGAACATGTATTGATTTTATGTTTTGATATTCTTTTTGAAAAATGAAAAGCTCACTGTACCTATCAATACTTGTCTTATTTTCCGTATTTGTTTCATCTGTTAAGGCTTCTCAACATTGAAAACATTTTTCTGTTTACCTTGGAATTAGTTTGTCACAGTATTATTAGCTTCAAAATGCATGGATCATATTTATTCACTACTAGAAAATAAATTTCCATAGATGTAGTCTCAGTTGGATGGCAACTTTTACAGTTGGTATTATATATTTTAAGATATTATCACAATCATTAAATAATTGTTTGAAGGCATTGATCAACATATATGTGATGTACATGCCTTCTTAGATGTTGTTATATATCTATAAATTTTAAAACTAATATTTACATATTATATATGAGAATGTTTTGGAATGCACATTAACAGTATTATGGCGATATTTAAACGAAATAATTCATAATACAATCTTGTGGTTATCAATATTTGAAAGTCATATTACTGAAACAGAAAGTGAGTTTAAGCAACGATGGATGGAAATATCAGTGGATTCCAGGACTCGGCTTTCGTTCTATTTGGGAGTTGTCAGATGGATGTGCCTGAACCCCAGAGTTGATGTTCACTCTGGAATTCGAACGCCATCGCATTATTCTCTTGGCTAATATCCACTAGCTTGTGCAATGAGGTGAAGTTTAAATTCACTTGGTAATTGTTTACTTGAATCTTCACATTGATGTCTACAACTGAGATTGATCAATCTCTTATTGCCGTATGTGCATCTAGTGCGAATGATCTCGATATTGCCTTAATTCACAAGGATTATAAACAAAGATAGATAGTAACTAGCAGTGGAATCCAGGACACGTGTTTCCTTCTACTTGCGAATCTTCAGATGGATGTACGTCCATCCCATAGTTTATGTTCATCTTGATAATTATGACTAAACGCCATTTTAAATCAACTTTTCTCTTGGTGACATGTGTAGAATTCTGTTTTTTATAAAAAGACATTATACATTACAGATAACTCATCATAAATTTATTTTTTCATAAATACTGATATATTATTGATAATGATATTTGTGGTAGATTCCATGATGTCCTTTGCACTACTTTTGTTCTCAAGCTTATTCGAAGGCAATGAATAACTCTTTGTTTTGTTATACTAAAACGATTTTGATATCGATCTCATGAATATTGGTGAAAAGGATTCTTTTTCGAGAAAGTGGTGAATAAGAGAACTTGCCGCGTATTGAGGCATTCGTCATTTGAAAATCATAAAAATTATTTAAGTAGTAAAACATCGTTTAGAACAATAATTTCAATGTGTATATGACGAAAAATGATTGTATATTTTTAAAATGACAAATGGGTACGCACCGCTGAAGAGCCTTATACTAGGACGAAATGGTCGTCCTGTGTTTCCAGTTTTTCAACCGTAGTTTACCTATGATCACTTAGTGATTTGAACAATGGATAATGTTAATTTTATTTATCGAATCACCTTTTCATTATGTTGATCAAATAAAACAAAATTACGATTCATTTCAAAAATAACGGTCTAGATGTAGTCTAAACTACATTTAGACTATTGAAAAACTTTCATAAATGAAATGTCACATTTTCATCATAAACAGGTATCTACTTCAAATTGATTGAATGCGAAAATACACTAAAATATTTGTCTTATCAATGTCTAAGAATACTTGACTATGCTCATTCATGAAATCATTAAGAATTAGTACGAGACATTCGAAATAGTTTTGGTAAACAGTTAGTAAATCAGCAATTAAGTGGTTCAATGTTATACTTTAACAAGTTCATAATTTAGTGATGATATCTTGTAAAAGACATGTTTAAATAAATTTCAAAGAACTTGTGAATATTTCCTTTTTTTACTACACATGTTCGTAGTTTGAATCATCTTTTAAAAATAATTCATGACGTCTAAGTAGCTATTGATAAGTTATAAATTAAACCTTACTACATTAGTATAGAAAGGTATGATAAAATGGATGTTTTGCCGTTTCAGTATTTGTTTTGAGAACAATAATCATACTGAATGAATGAAATTATTGTTGGGTTGCTCATTTTATTATATGCTGATGAACTCAGACAGGAATATTAAGTAGTTTATTTCGAAACCTACTTTTAATCTTAGAGCATTGTACTTCAATGAGTTTTAAAGGTCTAAAATACTAAGGAATTCCATACTAAGATAAACCATACTAATCTGTATTTTCTTGGTATCTATGTTTGTCTAACTATAATTAGACATTGATATAAACTATATTTTGTATATGTTTATTGTCCATAGTATTCCATACTAATATTTCAATTTCTTTCGAACTTTATCTAATTATAATTATTTCTGTTAGTATTCATAGTATAACATTTTGAATTGATGGATATTTTTTTTTGACAAATTCAGTAGTGTGTAAGAATGATTGACTAAATGAAATGTGGTTTTTTAAGAAAATGAACAAATTACATTTAACATTCCTTTTACCAGAATATTTCAAAAATGTAAACTCATGATCTGATTGGAATACGTTATAATTCTAGAATCAAACATAATTTATTCTCATGTAAATAAAATAAAATTTAATAAGAATAAATAATAAGCTGAACTAACTCATAATCAGAAAGACGTTTTATGGATATCACAGTAGTTTAATGGTTGAATTCATGATTTGACTAAAGCTACGCCACCATGGAAAACCTGGGAGCACTGGACGTCCGTTTCGTCCTATTGTGGGACTCCTCAGCATTGCGCATCCACGATCCCACTTGCAGGATTCTAAACCAAAACCTATCGGTCTGTCGTACGAACGTCGTTCGATGCCAGTTCAGTTGTCTATAGGTTATACGTACCGTAGAGGCACACTGCTGAGAAATCCCACAATAGGACGAAACGACCGTCCGGCGCTTTCAGGTTTTCATTGTACTCTGTCTTTAATGGATTCATGAATTCAACTATCAAGGCAATTTAATCAAAGTATTGAAATGCATTTTGAGAAACAAAACATATTTTTGCTTATTATTGAGGTATTTAAAAAATGTTTTGTACTCCGAAGTATTTCCTGAATTTAAAGCAATTAATCACCTGAATAATTTTTCCCTAATTCACAACTGAACGTATGTTACTGGAAATGATATATGTGTATATTTGCCTTCTCTGTTAGTTGTATTGTAATGACATTTTAATTTGTATGTGAAAACATACGTAAGACAAATTTAAGGCCTACGATTACGCTAAAATAGTGATGTATATCACTTTAGTTATTTCATAAAAATACCTACTTTACCATGACAAGATTGTGTAGAAACCGTAGATATTTCCTTACTGTTTATATTGATGGCTTCACTTGATCATTATCTAATGACATGTACTTTCGTTGAGTAGAGGATGTCTTAATATTGTTTGTAAGTATATACAGATGACAAGCTTCAAATGGTTCGAAAACAATTTTCTTTTTTTCACTGTTAAACCCACTTTTAAATCGAATCGACCTGATTGTTCGGTGTAATTAATTAGGAAGGGAGCAAGAAGTTTAACATTATGTTGATGGACAAATCAAGGAGGCATGAACAACAATGACAATCGTTAAAAACTAAATTAGATATCTGTTAATTATGAAATAGTCAATTATTGAATGAAGAGTTGTAAAAATCTATTCTTTACAGAAAGATATTTTTTGGAGACATTTCCTCAATAACAATTTGGTTACATAGCTACATTTCAAAACGTATTCCGTTTTTTCTTATCAATTTATGAGTAATTATAATTACACCAGTTACTTCTGTAAGTTACTCTAGGTTTCTCAGATATCTTCCACTTGATTATGTAAGGAAGTAACTGAACACAAGGGAATAATTGTTAATGATAACTTGAGCTAAGACCAATAAAATTTATGAATTTGTATGAAATGAGAATGATTCAATTAAAATAAGGGAAATTTGCAAGAGTAATGTAATAAATTGTAAATAATGTTGAAAAGTAGTAAGGAACTTTTTACCAATATTTACAGGTAAATATATAGACCTGGCTTGAGATGTTTAATGGCTGTAGCCTAGACAAATTTTAAAAGATGGAGTTTGATTTTAGATTAATAATTTTCAAAGGTTTCAGTATATCAACCTGATGTTCTAGGTCAATATACAAAATACAGAAAAGTAATCTCATACTAAATATTACTGAAAGATACTACTTACAATTTTAACATTTCATTCAATTTATGTCCAGTCTGTTTAAGTAATGCTTTGGATACAAGAGCGTTATTGTTATTCACTATTTTAGTTATACCAGTGAAATCTATTTCATTCTGACGAATTTTAATAATATGATCGTAGATTTCCGAACCATTTTCTACAGTGAATAATGCGCTTCCACTAAGATAAAGAAAAATAATTAATAAAAATTATTATTATTATTATACCACTCGTTTTCCAAAGTGAATAAGTTAAAACAATCAAAGTTAGATAAAATAGCTAATGCAGAAATATACGATTACCAATTCTCAAGGTATACTTATCAAATAATAATTGGCAATAATTATGGTCAAATCATAATCACCATTAACAGACAGTATGGTATAATGACCTCTTCTAGTGTCGGTTATTATGTTAAGCCCATATTACCTTATTCTAGCTTTTGGACAGCCCATTCTATTCATTCTACTTGAGTCACATTCTGACCTTGCTAGTTATTCGCTTATCAGTCTTGACTGTTTTTATATGAGTGCGTAGGTGTGTGTACAATTCTTATCCCATTATTCATCACATGTCTGTAACTTACTTTTGTGCAACTATAAATACTGATTAACGCTTGGTTAAATGGGAGTTGGCTTACCAGCCATCTCCACTCTGCGTCGTTTCTCTTCTCTCGATTCCATTCGCTTTATATACAAAATATATGTCTTTACAAATCCATTCTCGTTATTCAACCTATTTAATTCCGTTATTGACTGACGCGATTTAAGTCGATGATTCTATACGAGGATAGGCGATAACAAACATTCATACGATTTAATTGGAGTCGGATCCAAGGGCCACCAAACTCCCTTATTTATTATACAACCGTTTGTATTAATCTGTAGTTAGTATTTTGACTGCAATTTAATGAATTGGTATATGTACATTCTATGTGAAGGGCCTTGACAAGATTTTACACAGAATGGATGACTAGCACTGTAATCCAGAATATGCGTTTCATCCTATTTGGCTGGATGCAACTATATATGGACTTAAGTGCCAATTGAACAACGCGTTAACGTTTCTAAGCGAAAGGTACTGTGTTCGAACCCCAGAGTAAATATCGAACCCGCCATGCAAGCACATTCAGATTACTGATCCCAAATAAGATAGAATGTATGTCTTGTACTTCATAATCAGCTATACTCCATCCATTCTATATAAATTAGTGACTCTGTTTAGTTCTAATTAAATAATAATGGATTATTGAATTCATTTACCGGATAGATATATATGTACTTGGGTTTTAGCCAAACGTTTTTTTGAGAAGAATAGTGATATTAATCTGATGGCCATATCAAACCTGATCAAACGGAATCTAAACATAACAGTTCTACTCCCAACGGTTTAACGGTCGAAAAATATATATTTACTGTGTTCCAAATATTTTAACCCTACGACATAAATTCTCTTTTTATGGTAGCTTTCCAAATTAGAAAATCTCGTTTCTATTACCTGTATAAACTGTTTAGGGAATAGTACTAATCTAATAAGCAAGAATAATGATAAAAATAAACTTCTTCCTAAGTAAGCAGTATCACTTCTGACTTGTGCACTCCTTCTTAGAATATTATGAGTTCACCTATACGATTCACTTAGAAAAGAGAAAATTTTCAACCATCATTTAATTAATATTACCTTTTTTAGTTAGTAAGACTATCCAAAACACTGAACTACTGGATAAATACATAGCATTAAGCATTTTAAGAATGAAGCCTCTCAGTTTGCATATAGTGAATACGAAACCAGGTCTTTGTTTTTCTTTCAACCAAGTGTACAATTGTATATAGCTAATAATTATATTAATTGACTAAAATATTAATAGTACTCTAATTGACTTGTAGTCATTTTGCAAATTACATCGATGATACGTGAAGTGACTATTTATTTCCATATACGTTATATAATTTAGACATCCGAGTCCAATGAAACATTAGGATTATCTTAAGATTAATATTTTCATAGTGCCCTATTGCTATTACTCTAAAATAAACATTTTACGCATTACTTAAATGCTAAATAATCCAGCACTGATTAAATAGCCTATAAGCAAATAATCTATTTGAAAAGATTTTGTTCGTATTAATAGTACAATCCAACAATATAGTCATAGTTATACGATGCTTGATCATTTGAATTTTGTATAACCAAATGGTGATCATTTATGAAATCTGATCAACCTAATCAAAGGTAATAATTAATAAACATTGAATTATTGAACAATTGGTAATTAAAATGAGTTACTTCGAAACAAATGGCATACTTTTATTTACAATAATGATTTCGAGAATAGACATCAGTAAAACTTGGCTGAGATATAAATTATTGAAAAATTCACAATGCCTTAGTAATTCACTAATCAATAAAGTCAAACCTAAAAACCTAGGCTTACTTGTTAGCTGTCGATATCAATTAAACAACTAAACAGGAGTATGGTAACAGGCTCATACATATATGCTATAATTTTTCTAAAGTTTACACTTACAGTCATAAGGTTTCCTGTTTTAGTTTACTAATTATCCTTGTCAAAACTTTTCCTTATGAGCTTGTATAAAATCTTCGAAATCCTATCAGTAAATCTGTTACTGATTACCCTGAATATTACGAGTACGGTAGTTCAACATCGGACATATAATTAATACTACTATTATTATTGTAATTAAAAATGTAAACTTTTACACTCAATAGGAATAAAACATTTAATAGATCACACCATTTTTTTCATTATTACTTACCGTATAGGATTTAAATTACACAAAGTAATTGTAAACCAATCTGATATGTTCTGTTCTTCTTTATGCATTAATGATAATAATTTATTATTTCCATTATCATCAATATGATTATAAGAAGATTGTTTAGATAAAGGGAATTTATTATATACAAAAAGTGATTTCATCATTTCATGTCGATTGAAATAATCAATAATTCGGTAACAAAGACAAATAAAAATTAAAAGACAAATCAGTATCATTGTTAACCTATAAAAGAAAAATTTAAAAAAAATTACCAATCAAATAGAATGCATTAGATTAATGGAGGTCGCTAAAAAATAAAGCGATTTTAGAGAAAATTTTACATGATTATCTTTTCCTAACCAATGTAGACTAAATTAATACATCTGTTTTATAATCAGAGATGGGTTTTGTGAATATTATAGTAATTTTATTAATTTCAATGGTTGAGATTATGAGTCAATTGAAGCTAGACCATTATGAAAAACCTGGAAGCATTAGACGGACATCTTGTCATAGTTTGAGACTCCTAAGCAGTGAGCATCTACGATTTATGAGTAAATAGTTCTTGACAAAAAGAATTATGTAACAGCCATACTGTAGAATTAAACCACCACTAAATGATTAAACAACAATTATACTGATCCCTACAGGAGGTCGGTTGTGATAGGAACAGTATCTCAGGATCTCGAACTAAGAGGCCGAGCGACGCAAATTCGAATTTCATGAAAAGCACCAGTTCCAATAACATTTCAGATATACCTTATCAATAAGTTTTAACTGCCACAAAATCGAGATCTAAATTTTCTTCCCCATTATCTACAATCACGTTACAGGAAAGAGTAAAACAGCAATATGACAAACAATACAAACAGCAGTATCTAGTCTGTGGATTTCCTCCAGAATAATTGATAACATCAGAATGATGATTGCATTATGTAAAATAAATTATTCTATACACAAATGCAATAGGTAGAGCATTGATAAGTTTAAATATTGTATTGAACTATCCAGTCTTGGTTATGGTAATAATCTAGATGTCTGCTTATCTTCAATGGGTCATTTTTATTAAATTATACATTTTAAAAGCAATACAACTTATTGATGATTTAATCAAATGGTCTTTGTAATAACAATATTAATGTTAACTGTTCAGTTACGTAATGAATTACATTATAACTCATTTTAAGCTTATTTCATATTTGTTTTACATTTAATTATATTAGTCTCATTAACTTTATTGGTAGAGTAAACTTTGCAAAAAAAACATTTATGTGAGCCATAAAAAGTTGTTAGACAAATAGTTAAAGTAGTAATTATTAGGTTTGTTAGTAGAGTCTTTGCGTTATTAATAAATATTCAGAAATATTTTTAAAAGGACTTTATCCCATTGTGTATTATCAGACAACACGACTTAACTATCCGTTTCATTTTGTGTCTTTATTAATATGTGGTATCAGTAATAAGAATTGAGAATTCCACAGTACGAGAATGTGGAGATTATTAGGTTTTTGATTGAGACAACGAACCGATTGATGTTAGACCACCATGGAAAACCTGGAAGCACTGGACGAACTTTTCGTCGCATTGTGGGACTTCCCGGCAGTGCTCATCCATGATCCCGCCTCGCGAGACTCAAACTCGGGGCCTTCAATCTTGCCCGCAAGCTTTTAACGACTAGACCGACCGTCATTCAATGGTGTTAATGTCAACATCGACCAGTCTATGAAATTGCGTGACTATCTTCCATTGTACTGAGTTAGATACTTGTCTCTATCCGATATGGATTAACTCCACTGGTCATGGTTTCTCACTAGAACTCCAAGAATTTTACTCACGAAGCTAGTCACTAGTGAGTACATAGTAACTATCAGTATGTGGTTGTGAAGATCACTAACCTTTTGATTGAGATCATTTAGTTATATTTAACCAAATATCCAAAATTCATGAAGGAAACTCATAAAATTGCTTACATATGACTGAATTAATAAATTTCAGGAAATTAAATCATGATATTATTTCCTAAAAATCATATTGTCTATTGACGTTGTTACTTTTAGACAAAATCTTTCATTTTACAATAATATACTGACAATCTGAACAACCGACTGGAGTTGATGTACCATTGTTATGGAGACTGGCGACAAAAGGAACTAGTATGAATTAAATAGTACCTTTTGAATATCAAAGATAAATATCCATACAATGAAGATATTGACGAAGATAATATATCATCCATCATATAATATGTTTTCTTGTTTATAAAGTTAGAATGAGCTGAATTACAGACAGATAGGCATAATATTTAGATTATTGATGGAATATATTTAGTGATCAATTGAAAGGACTAATATAATATTGCTCAAACCTCAGTTGAGTTCATTCAATTCTCAAACCTATTAAATAAGCAATTTCAAAAAAAATATTTTTCCAAGTTGAAGTTTCACGGTATTTTTATGTCAGTAAGCAGCTCAAGCATAAGCAGTCTGTTTAAGGATACGGGATTCGTGCAGGACTATCTTGTATATATTCACAAAATAACAATATTCCAGGTAAACTCATGCAAAAAGCAGAATATAATTTACATTCTAGACGAAACTAATTAGTTAAATGAACCCTCGGATCATCATAATAGACTTTTTTTAGAGAACCCTATAGCTAAGAAAAGCAGTAATACAAAAAATTTTATTTCTCAAATAAGTGTTGACTACAGTTACTTAGTAAACTAGAAAAAACATAAAGTTGGAATATTCCATTGACAAGTTACAAATGTAACATTTAACTGATTATACTTCTAATTAGTGATGAAAGTACAGTATTCTTTGAACTCATATTTGACAGATAATTCCCATTTAAACATTAAAAACATGAAGTTCAGAGAAGGAATCTCTTCAATGAATTTTTTATCAAGCTGTATAGTCGTATATATATGAGAATATTTTGGTTAAAGTACAATTTCTGTAAGGAAATGTGACCAAGGAATAACCAAGATGATGTAAGAGAAGGATTATAATACTAGATTGCGCAATATGAATAATAATAATAATAATAATAGACTTAATAAGTTAGTTACGAATTATAACGTGAATGAAGCAAGGTGATTAAAATGTTTTTGTTGCAATAAATATAAGTAACATCATAAGCACTTATGAATAAAATAATGAGAATATGAGATATAATTAAAGAGAGAAATGTAATAATAATAATAATTAAGGCAACAGTAACGATAGGACGTACTTTATTTGTGGGCATAGTTCTGGCTTGACCTCACAAATGGTAAGAGCCTCGGTTATTTTTAGAAGTTGCATCCTAAGAGATCCAGGTAGATTTGGAAGAATCGTATATACGACCTTCAAATCAGCCTTTGTATTAGTAGAGTGATTACAGTAGATTAGATGTTCAAGTCTGGAACTTCTATCTGCATTCCTCTCATCCTTATGGAACTACACTGGAACATGTTCCCGTGTCCGAATTGAAAGCGAGTGCTGGCTACGGCTAATGTACTTTTCTCCACAAGAGCAATTGAACTGGTAGATGCATATTGGGGCGACCGGACGGGAAGCTTATCTCATCATCTTAGTTATCCCTTGTTCACATTTCCTCAAGAGACTAGTACTTTAAGAAAGAAATCCTTATATATTTATGTATGCGATTTTACAGCTTGATAATAAATTCGTGGAAAAGAGATCCCTTCTGTGAACTCATATTTGTAAAAGAAAATTTTATTATCACCCAATTTATTAATACAAAAGATTTTTTTATTGAATTTTAAATAAAGACAATTCATAATAAAAACGTTAAAATTAATACAAACATTTTTGTCCTTTGCGACCATTCTCTGATGAATATATATTCCTTAATATTCACAGTTAGTCAGTGCTAACCATTGATAAGGAATATTGTGTTAATTGTTAAATCTTATTTAATTGTTTCACAATTATATATTAACTATAAAATATATATAATAATCTCATCATTATCAACCCTAACGGAACTATAGTTTATGGATTGAATTCATAGAAAATATCATATCGAACATGTAGACATCACTTAGTGAATCATTATAATTTCAGGATCAATGAATTGATATAAGATTATTGAAACGTGAACATTTGCTTAAGTGAAGAACCTTCAGATTTCATTTTTAAACTAGTTTCCACATAACACTGATCAGGGATACAATAGTTCACGTTTACAATTTTAGTAAAATCATTTAGAAGTAAAATCTTCAACTAGAAATAGAAGTGTACTGACTGCCTACAAGGTTTTTGATTGAGATCATGAACCGATTGATGCTAGACCACCACCTTTGGAAACCTGGAAGCACTGGACGGCCGTTTTGTCCTATTTTGGTACTCCTCAGCAGTGCGCATCCACGATCCCGCTCGCTGGATTCAAACCCAGGGCCTTCAGTCTCGCGCGCGAACGCTTAACCTACTGGACCACTGAGCCGGCATCCAATGGTGATAGTATCTAACATCAACCAATCCACGAAATTGCGCGACCAACTTCCATTGTACTGAGGTAGATACCTGTCTCTACCCGACATGGATTAGCTCCACTGATCACGGCTTCTCACTAGAACTCCGAGAATTCCCTCACGAAGCTAGTCACTAGTGAGCACATGTTGCCTAATAAGTGTTTTTTTCTCCGATACAAATTTCTGATGAGAAGTATATTTCCCAAATTAGTCTCCACGAAACACTTTTTGATATTATTGAGTGTTTTTTTTTATGAATTACTTATCATATTCAACTGATAGAAATGTAGACAATCGTTTGGAATTATAACTATTTCTAAAGTATTATACAGTAAAATATTCTATCAACGTCAAGTCAACATTTTATATCTTCAAGTTAATTTATTACTATCAGAAGGGTGAAGAGTCCCATACTAGGACGAAACGGCCATTCAGTCCTTCCAGGTTTTTCATAGTGGTATAGCTTCAATTGACTCATGATCTCAACCATTGAAATTAATCTATTACTTTTGTAAAATAGAGGGACTGAAAGCAAAATCCAGTGTTTCAGTCGTCTTCTAAATTTCTGAAATATTATACAAACATTCATTTCAATCACAGAATATAAACTTTACTTCATTTTTCATGACATAGTGAAGTGTAATAATCCAAGTTCATAAATCTTTAGATAAAATAAATTTCAATGGTTTATAATTCAATTGCATGTAAGAAACATGTAAATAGATTGTATTTCAATGACTACCCTTTTTTGCATTCAATGACAAAT